CGATGTAAAGCGAGGATCCAGGGATGAGAAGCAGCAACGGTGATCCATTAGGGACATTCTTCTGAAACAAAGAAATCCTATTAGCGTCTTGCGAATAATCGTGGCGTTGATGCGAACTAACCTTCTCGGTAGTCTAAGGTTAAACCGAGTGGCGACCGTTCGATAGGAATATTATCCGCCGGAATCGGGCTCAACTCGTGCCGTCCGGTCACAACCTAACCTAAAAACAGATATGTGCTGTAAGAAATTACGTATAATTTAATAATGTTCTTAAATGAGAAGCGCTTAAAGCGGCAACTTCATGATTTTCCCCAAGGATGATAAATTGTTTCCGGCGCTTTAAAATAGTGCGTATCCTGTTCAAACATTGCGATTGGACACTGCTCGATTAGACACCTACCATTTGTCACGTTTTATTAGACACTGCTTGATTGGACACCGCATGATTGGACGCAGTACGATTGGACACAGCACAATTGGACACGCACATTGCACGATTGGACACCGCTCAATCGGAAACCGCACGATCGGATACCGCACGATCGGATACCGCACGATTGGACTTCGCACAATCGGACACCACACAATTGGACACGTATGCTGACCCAATTGTTGTGTGAGTCATTGTTGGGTTAGTTTTTTGGAGGTGGAGTTCTCCGCAGGGAGCGGAACCCACTGCAACCACGCGCGATGCCTAATCGTGTGGTGTTCAATAGTGCAGTGTCCAATAAAACGTGTCCAATATTACGTGTTCAATCGAGCGGTGTCCAATCGTTATGTGTTCAAACGAAAGTGAGCCTTTAAAATATTATAACTGCTAATTCTAGACCGAATGGAAGCTCCATATAAATTTTGAGGCAAATCGGAGGTGAAGACTCTAATATAGAAATTTAGTAATATTTTCAATAAAATAATAGTATCTGTCATGACTTGTGATTTTATTCGAGAATTATAGTGTTTTCTAAGTAAAAAATTGAAAGGGATTATAAGACCTTTTTTTTCTAAAATAAGCCACAGAATATTTTCTTCAATCTTTTATACTTACTTAGGAAACACCCTGTAGAATGTTTCAAACTTTCGAGCGGTAATGTTATACAGTTTCATTGAAATCAGAATTTGCAGATTGGCAATGTTCAGTCGTAGGCAATTAATGAAATTATCTGTATATCTGTATTTTGCAATAATGTAATTATATAAAAATAATTTTTTTCTAGGCACTTTTTATTTGTGGAATGGAATACTGTATCGTTGTATAGTTACCAAGGACGTTTACTGGGTAATCCAAGATGGAAAGGTTTTTCTTCAGAACCACTATATCCTGCTTGCATATCATTGTGTGCTGATACTTTGGTCATAAGAAATCAAAACAATGAAAAACGTAAGATAAACATATAAAATGTAGTAAATGTATATTAAAAAGTTCAACAAGATTTTTTAAGCAATTTACTTTATAAATTACACCGTAGATGAAGGTAGTTCAAATTAAATATAAACGGGAATTTGTTTCTATGCATGTTACGTACAACATCACCGGAATGTTTCACATTTTTTAATATATCTCACTTGATTACAATACACTTGTTCCATCGTTCTGGAAGCTTCTAGAACAATGATGTTGGGATACACAGAAGTTCTTACAATTAGTCACTGAGCGTGAGATTCATTTTTCACACAATTTCTTCCTTTTTGAAGTAATTTTGCTCAATTATACACTCTTGTCTGTAACAAACATTTATTGTCAAACTATGCTTGAAGTCTGGTCAAAATTTCAGAAGAATTGACCCTTTTATTCATGAAAAATTGGATAATTATCGAGAAAGACTCTATTTTTATATTCGACAACGTTTGGCTAATGTGACAATTCATTGGTTTTGGTCAGATTAATCGTCAAGACTTTTTTGACCATGGGTTTTGGTCGTTTCTAAATTGATTTAATCTTTGATACTTACATATAAGCATCTCATTTTTATTAAATTAATTTATTAAACTTATTGCGAAAAATATTACCTCAGCCAGGGTTCAAACCTGGAACCTCCCTTATTCCGTGTAGGGCGTCGTACCAATTCGACCACTGAAGCATGTGCAATAATTTAATTTAATAAAAATGAGAAGCTTATATGTAAGTATCAAAGATTAAATCAATTTAGAAACGACCAAAACCCATAGTCGAAAAAGTCTTGACGATTAATCTGACCAAAACCAATGATCGAATTGTCACGACATTAGCCAAACGTTGTCGAATATAAAAATAGTCTTTCTCGTTTATTAATTATTATTGGCGAAACAAATACATATACTTTCTGTTAAATAATTATATTCGTTGCTTAACATTACTTCTTTGCACTCCTCGTTCAGTCATCGTGACAGCGTCTGACTGCTGACTTTGTGAAGATTGTTACGGCTTGTAAGGTGAAACCTGTCTGAATGTGTCACAACATGCAGGGCGACACAGATTGATTAGGTCCGCAAACTGAACTATTGTTTTGTGTTTGAACCATCTTCGTATATAAATTATTGTTTCAATTTTTTAATATTGAAACTTTTCAAATCATGAATTAGTTTTTGCAATCTTTTACTTTTTATATTGTAAAATGTTTGATTGAGGATCCCAATTCTTATTGTAAATGGGAATGTTACTTTTAATAATTATCGTTTCACCGGTATTCACGAAGGAATTTGCAGGACGACCTCGACAACGTGACGCGGGTGTTATGATACCGCTTATTACGAAGGAAAACGAGGGTGGTGTTGAAGGGAAAAGAAAACAAGGATAGATAACGCTTATTTAATATATATTTCACTTTTACATCTCCGCGAAGTCCATTGCACGGACTTACGAATTACGAACCGATACGCCGGGATACGATTACAAAGGCATGAGCCCTCAGACGCACGTCCGATCTCTTCGGAGATTTCCTCAGAACTCTGTCGAAGCTTCTCGCGCACTCAACTCGTCTCGACTCGCTTGAACACGTTCGGACTTGTACGACCGTTACACATTTCGCGTAAACAACTTGCGTCATCGCCACCCGACCAATCATACGCACTCTCCAATCGCGTGTTGGCGGCGGTGGCCAGCGCCTCTAGCCATCGTAGTTACCGCGCCGCTCGCGTGCGACATGTGGGGCCACCTATCGGTTTCTTACAATATCAATTTTTAAATACTTTACATTTTCGATTTTCCAAAATAACATAAGATTTTGAATATTCAAATTTTAAATAATTACACAGTACAATAGAAGAACTAATTATTAAGTTTTGTTGTTGGATTATGATAGATGGATGCTTTCATAGTACACCAGTACCAATTATTTCTTTCTATTATATTGAAATTTTTGTTAAAGGGAGGTTCTCATCTAGCGACCCAAAAGTAAGGTAATTTTCTTGAATTTTTTTTCATAGAAGGAAGTAAATGAACAACTGAAGATTTTTGATACTTATTTATGGAGTCTAAGAGTACATAAAAAAATTTTTTTAAATAGAAATTACTGCCGTGGAATGGTGTTACACGTGGTGCATCGTGACCGCGTCAAAAAAAGATGTCCAATTGGCAATCACCTGTAAAAATTATCAGAAATCAAAAATCCAAAAATTTTCATGAAATATATAATATTTGTTGGAGCTTGAACCTATAATATGAATAAAAAGTCAAAAATTAAAAAAATGACGGACATTTGAGTTTTGAGTACCGTTTTTTCACGTTTTTTTCGCTCTTTAATGTGGACATTCTTTCTAGGACATTCGTGGAGTAAGTAGATAGAAACACAACTGTCAGTTTTGTCCGCATTTTTTCGAAGTTATCTGCTGTTCCATCGCCTCAGGGCGTTTATGTTACAGGTCGTTTGTAAGCGCCAAAATGCAACAATGACTGCATAGATAAATATAAAGTGAAGAAGCCATAATATCAACGGGTTTTTGAATTATACAAGGACGGTAAGAGTTTGGAGGTTAGAAAGCAATAACCGAAGGAGAATAGAGAAAGAAAAGAGAGACAGAGCGCCCAGTAAGCAAAAAACGTCAAGAAATATTTCAATTACATTGCATTAATGTTAAAACGTTGCTGTAATGTAGTTAAAATGTTTCTCGGTGTTCCTTGCTTACTGGGCGTACATATGAGAAAGAGGCATAGAAAAGCAAAGTTGGTAAGAGCCAACCGATAAGAAAGGAAGTGATAAAACAAAGTAAACCTAAAAGTAAGGAAACAGCATAAGAGGAAAAAAGAGGAAGGAGCAAATGGAAGAAGAGAAAAAGGGGTGCGGAGAGAGGAGCATTGGAACGCAGAGAGGTGATAAAGAGAAAAGTAAAGAAGTTGAAAAAGGAAAGAATACAGGGGGCAGACCAACGAGGCCAGAGAAATTATCGCGACTGAGAAAAGACGGGAAGCCTGGAATCCATTAAAAATTACTAAAAAAAAGAGAAAAAGAGGAAGAAAAAGAAGTGGCGAAAAAAGCCAAAAAAAAATATTAGAAAGATTCAATAAAAAAGTAAGAATAATAAGATTGCCAAATAAAATAAAAAGAAAGGAAGAGAGAAAAAATAATATGAAAGCGGAAAGAATGTTAAAGGAGATTTTGGCGAGAATAGACAAACAGAAAAAGAAAAGAAAAAAAGATGAGATAAAGAAAGAGATACAGGACCTGAGGGAAAAATAAAGAAGGAGGGAAATGATATGAGACCAACAAAAAACGAGCATAAAAAACAGAGCTAGTAAAACAGTTAGAGGAGAAACTCCAGGAATCGGAGAGGAGCAAAAACAAAATGAAAGGAAGCAACGACCTGAAAAAAAGAGTAAAAGAGACAGAAAGAAATTGGAAAATGGTGGAGAGAAGGAAAAGGAGTGCGAATCTTCGAGAGAGGGCGGATCAACGCACGTTCCCACAATGAAAGAAATACGGAAGATTGAAGTGAACAATTAAGCAGTGAAATGAGCTATTGGGAAATAACAGGCCAGGCAATATGGAGAACATAAAGCCGAATGCCGTCCTGGCCAGATGCATAGAAATGAAGAGGTTCATTTGTGATAAGCTTATATACATCATCAGGCTAAATAGTAGAAAAAACAAATTTTGAACGTTGAGAAGGACTAGAAACTGAAGCAATGGCTGACATGAAGTTAATGTACGAGCAAGGTAATGAAGTATTAGATACAGAGACGTAATATAAATTTAGTTGATCTGGTGAGAAAAAACGGAGAGGAGAAACCGACGTAGACTTGACAAGACCAAGACGGGCAAGTTCTCTCCACAATTTAGCAGAGTCGGTAATGTTAGTAAGAGAGGCAAAGTGAAAATCACTCTTGGCGCGCTTGATATCAATGTTAAGCTGGTTGCGAAGATGTCGGTATCTAGCATAGCCAAGAAGAGTGAAGACTATTGGAACGTTTGGCTTGCTTATACAGCTGATTACGTGTACGGAGTCGGGATCTACTTCATCAGAGAGCCAATGAATAGGAGGCCTTCTAATCACAGATCTACGAGCAGGAGCAAACACACCCAGCACGTCAAGCAAGGTAGACGACAAACGAGAACAAACCTCCTCAACGTTAGTCACATTCACAATCTGAACATTGATTGCCAAGGAATGAAGATGCTCAAGAAACGCAGAGGTGTCAAAGTTCCTATAACTACGCCGCAGTACAGATTGCTTAGAGTCAAACGTACGATTTAGAGAGAATGATATTTCAAGCAGATCGTGTCCTGCGAGAGAGAGAGAGAGAGAGAAAGAGAGAGAGAGAGAGAGAGAGAGGCCATTGCACGCGGGTCCTCCCGGTGCTCAAAACGCGCGTCTTCCTTCCCGCGACCCTATAACTGACCGTCAGCGCGGTTCCTCCTCCCCGCGGACCCGTCGCCCTCGAACGCGGATCCTCCTTCTCCCCGCAAACCCCTCACCTTGCCCACCGGGCATGGAGTACCCTGCGCCACGAACCCCGCTGCCCTGCTCCCCCCTCGGATCTTCTAGGGTAGAACCCGCCTTTAGCGCCTTTATATCTTCTTCTTCTTCGATGGCACTACAGCTCATATCGAGCCAGGGCCTCCCTCAGTTTCCCCCTCCAGACATTCCGCTCCGCAGTGCACGTTCTCCAATTTCTTACGTTCAACAGGCTCCGGGCATATGTTGAGACTTCATTCTCCCATCTTGCTCTGGGTTTTCCTCTAGGTCGTTGTCCCATGAGTCTTTTTGGCATGCTTGTATCCCTCATGCGTTGCACATGCCCAGCCCATCTTAAGCGCATAAACTTTATATGCGTTGACAGTTTAGAGGCTTTGTACCTTTGGTATGTTTCGTGGTTATAGAGTATTCTCCATACGTTGCTTTCTTTAACCGGTCTATATATTTTTCTTAGTACTTTTCTCTCGAAGGCGTCCAGGACGTCTTTTG